GCTGCACTAAGGGCTGTCACCGGGCACTGTCTTGTACAGCCGACGCTGCCCTGTGGTCCCGGAGCTGCTGGATCGAGCAGCTGGCCCTGGAGGCTGCCGACCCCCTCAGTGGGTGGTCTGCGTCGGCCTCCTGGCCCTTCTTTCCTTTCGCGCCCTTCGTGGGCCAATCGGGTCTCCAGGCTGCCTTTCACTTGGAGGGCCCTGGTGTGTGCCATGCGCATGCCTTCGGGCTTGCTTGAGGCTGGTGCGGCTTTCTCCGCACCAGATCTCAGCTTTCATCTCTTCCTACCTCGGGAGGGGTTGGGAGTCTGGCAGTGGCCGCTAGCCACTCTGTGAGCCCCATCCAGCAGCGAAGAGACGCATTGGCGGAAGAGGAGGAGGAGGAGGAGGAGGAGGAGGAGGAGGAGGAGGAGGAGGAGGAGGAGGAGGAGAGAGGAGGAGATGATGGCGGATGAAGAGGATGATGAGGATGATTTATCTGAGGAGGAGGAAGAGGAGGAAGAAGAGGAGGAGGAGGAGGAAAAGAAGGAGGAAACGGAGGAGGAGGAGGACGAACACGAGGACGAGGCGGAGGAGGAATATGCATAATAATAATAGTAGCACTAATATTTAGAATAACAAGCATGACCATACGGATCGTATTAATAACTAGAAAACGATTTCGAATAATAATGCGAAACCTACTAAAACTACTGCGACAATGCGACTAATAAGAAGACGAATGCGAACAATACTATGAATACTACTATAGTACTATATGTATATATATATAGTTATTAACAGCAGTACGACTAATCTCAATAGTATACTAAATACGAATAAGAAGAAGGCGACGCTCAAAACACATATTACTCATAATAAAAAAGACGGAGTATAATATGAAAACGAATAATAATCATACTGCGAAGAAGACGGCCAATACTCTTAAGAAGAAGAAGCCGACGACTACTAAAGCGAACAATACTAAGAAACAGAAGACGAATCCGACGAAGAAGCATACATATAATACTAGTAACACGACCAATAATGCTAATACACAGAATCAGGGGAACACTAAGGCGACGAATCAGACGAAACGTCATCATACGAAAACGAGTACGAGCAAACATAATAACAGTACTAATGATTCGAAGAGGAAGAATAATCAGACAGCACGATAACTAAAAATACTACGAATATTGATGACATTGCGACGGATTTTATTACTACTGATAGTACGGCGCGGACGACGCATTCTGATACCATTATTCATAATATTCAGACGCGCAAGAAGAACACGAATACGACACTATGAGGAATACAGCAAGACTCCGACGAACACTAGTAAGATGACCAGTAAGAATAAGAATCCTTATAGCAACAACAAAGATAACACTCATACCATTACTAACAATATTAGTAACACCAGTAAATCTATTAATGCTAATAATACTGGTAGCAACATTACGAGTACTAGTACCAATAGCGTCATACCAATAATGATACTAATGGCAATGCTAGTGTTAATACGATTAACAATACTATTACCACCACTTATATGAACACTTGTAGTATCAACAATACTACCACTACTAAGACCAATCATACTAGTGGTACTAGTAATATTAGTAATACTACTAGTAGTACTACTTACAGTAATGCTACTGCGACTACTACTAATCATACTCATACTAGTAATACCAGTAATAATAGCACTACTGGCAATACTATCAATACTACGAATGCTAATAATATTGTGGTTACTACTAGCGCTATTCATACCACTTAGTATTAGCAACATTACTACTACTACTACTGCTACTACTACTACTACTGCTACTACTACTACTACTACTACTACTATTGCTACTACTACTACTACTACTACTACTGCTACTACTACTACTACTACTACTGCTGCTACTACTACTACTACTACTACTACTACTACTACTACTACTATACTACTACTACCAATATTCATACCACTCGTACTAAGAATCCCAAGAGTAATATTACTAATGCTACCACTCATCGTGGGAGGCGCGAACGGGGGAGGACGACGAGGAGGATGAGGAGGACGAGGAGGACGAGTAGGAGGATGATGAGGAGGCGGAGGATGAGGATGAGGAGGAGGAGGAGGAGGAGGAGGAAGATGATGATGCGGATGAAGAGGATGATGAGGTTGCTGATGCTGAGGAGGAGGAGGAGGACGGGGATGAGGAGGGGGAGGAGGATGATAAGGACAATAAGGACGAACAGGCCGTGGATGACGAGGAGGAGGACGAGGATGAGGATGAGGAGGCGGAGGAGGAGGAGCAGGAGGAGGAGGAGGAGGAGGAGACGACGGAGGAAGAGGCAGAGGCGAAGGCGGAGGAGGAGGCGCAGTTGGAGGCGGAGACGGAGGTGATCGTGTAGGCGGAGGCGCTGGCGGAGGCGGAGGCAGAGGCGGAGGAGGAGGAGGAGGAGGAGGAGGAGAAGGACGCGGAGGAAACGGATTCCGAAGCATACAACGAATATAAGTAGGTGGACGCAAACATATACGATGACTAGAAACACGAAGAAAGCTTCGAGGAAGAAAGCTTCGAGGAAGACGCCGAATGTCATCGCGAATAATACGACGAATACGACTACACCAGCTCATACTACTAAGAGCACCAAGGCTATTCAGAGGATTACTACGGAGGCGAAGGCGACTCATAGGAACACCACGGCCATTCTGGATACTACGAACAATGCTAATACGACTAAGGCGAAGACGCACCCTATTGAGACCACTAGCACTATTACTACTCTTACTATCCATACTGATACTACTATTACTAATACTATGACTAATAAGGCGGTGCAAACTAATACTATGATTGGGACTGTCACGACTGACGCTACACAGGCGACGACGGCCCATACTACTACGAATTAAACATATGAGTACCACGCACTAGGACCCATATTATTCGTACTCGCAAGACGAAAACCAATACTACTACTACAACGTCTGCGACCAATATTGACACGCTATGAGGAATAGTAATAGCACGGATCGAGACGCACGCTACTACTGAGGCGACTACGCATACGTCTTACAATCATACTGGACATACCAATATAGCAATCCTACGACGACGGATAAGACTAGTAATACGAAGGGGAAGGCGAGCACGACTACTAAGGCGAATACCGATTGCTACATGATTGTGAGCAGTGCGAAAAGTCGTAATGCTGGTATCACTAGGACTAATTCTATCACGGATAATGCCACTAGTATTTTCACTACTACTACTACTATTACTACTACTACTCCTACTACTCCTGCTACTACTACTACTACTACTACTACTACTACTACTACGACTACTACTACTACTACTACTACTACTACTACTACTACTACTTCTCATGATAACACGACTGACCACTGCTACTAATGTTTCGTCCTTCTCCTCCTCCTCTTCCTACTACTACTACTACTACTACTACTACTACTACTACTACTACTACTGTTACTGTTACTACTACTACTACTACTACTACTAACTACTACTACTACTACTACTACTACTACTACTACTACTACTACTACTACTACTACTACTACTACTACTACTACTACTACTACTACTACTACTACTACTACTACTACTACTACTACTACTACTACTACTACTACTACTACTACTACTACTACTACTACTACTACTACTACTACTACATAGTACTTTCAATATGACTACCACGCATGAGGGTACTAGCAACACCGATACAACTGATAACACTAATCATGCCACAGCTGCTAATTTTACTAACGTTATCTACTAATACTACTACTACGACCACTTCTACGACTACTAATAGCTATAGTGGTAATGCTACTAGAAGAATCATGAGTAATGCGAAGAGGAAGAGGAGGAGGAGGAGGAGGAGGAGGAGGAGGAGGAGGAGGAGGAGGAGGAGGAGGAGGAGGAGGAGGAGGAGGAGGAGGAGGAGGAGGAGGCGGAGGAGGAGGAGGAGGAGGAGGAGGAGGAGGAGGAGGAGGAGGGGAGGGGGAGGGGGAGGAGGAGGAGGTGGAGGAGGAGATGGCTGAGGAGGACGACGGTGAGGAGAAGGAGGACGAGGAGGAAGAGGAGGAGGAGGAGGAAGGGAGGAGGAGGAGGGGGAGGAGGAGGCGGAGGAGGAAGAGGAGGAGGAGGGGAGGAGGAGGAGGAGGCGGAGGAGGAGAAGGCTGAGGAGGACGACGGTGAGGAGAAGGAGGACGGGGAGGAGGAGGAGGATGAGGAGGAGGAGAGGGGGGAGGAGGTGGCGGAGGAGGAGGAGGAGGAGGGGAGGAGGAGGAGGAGAGGAGGGGGAGGAGGAGGAGGCGGAGGAGGAGAGGCTGAGGAGGACGACGGTGAGGAGAAGGAGGACGAGGAGGAAGAGGATGAGGAGGAGGAAAAGGAGGAGGAGAGGGGGGAGGAGGTGGCGGAGGAGGAGGAGGAGGAGGAGGAGGAGGAGGAGGAGGAGGAGGAGGAGGAGGAGGAGGAGGAGGAGGAGGAGGAGGAGGAGGAGGCGGAGGCGGAGGCGGAGGCGGAGGCGGAGGCGGAGGGAGGCGGAGGCGGAGGCGGAGGCGGAGGAGGAGAGGAGGAGGAGGAGGAGGAGGAGGAGGAGGAGGAGGAGGAGGAGGAGGAGGAGCAGGAGGAGCAGGAGGAGCAGGAGGAGCAGGAGGAGCAGAGGAGGAGGAGAGGAGGGAGGAGGAAGAGGAGGAGGACGAGGATGAGGAGGAAGAGCATGAGGAGGAGGAGGAGGAGGAGGAAAAGGAGGAGGAGGAGGAGGACAAGGAAGGATCGGCGGCGAGCGAGGGGTGGAAATGAGCAGGACGAGGCCCGCTCAGAGACCCCGAAGCTCTCTCGCCGTCAGAAAAGTTTTGTGTCTTCGGGGAGAGCTTAGAGAACTGCTCAGGAGGCCAGGGGACTTCCGAGCCCTCTGAGAACGCCCGCTCTCTCTCACTTCCTCCTTGGGCTGGCCGCCAACAGGTGCCTCCTTCGATGCAGGACCCCGACGCCCTCCTCGCAGCTTTCAGGTCGCTCTTCCCGAGCGTCTTGCACTGCGTGCTTATGGAGGACACCCGCAAGCTGCACATGCAGAAGACTCTGGGAAAGACCGCGGGGGCCCTGCGGTGCTTCTGCTGCCACCACAGGGCCAAGGCCCGCTACAAGGAGGGCCTCAGGAGGGCGGCGTCCCTGGAGCAGGAGTTCCGGCACAATGTCCGGAGGGCACACGAGATGGTGGAGTACGGAGGCAAGGTTCAGGGGCGGCCTGACCGACCCCTGGCAAACCATCTCCTTCCGTGACGTCCCCTCGCCTCGCCCCAAGACGTATGTGAACGGCCGGAGGGAAGCTTTGAAAGGCGAGGTTGACGCCACGGAAGGGGATGGCTTGCCAGGGGTCGGTTAGGCCTTGCTCGAAAGGTATCGTTTTCGACCTCGACGGCCATCGTGACCTTCGGCAGCGTGAAGGACTGCCTCATCGCGCAGCAGACGCTGCTGTTCAAGTCCGACGACACGGCCACCGCGCAGCACGCGTGGAGGCTGTTCCCCGCGCCGGAGCCTCGCGACATCGTCTGGGTCAACATGTCGAGCATGCTCCCGCACGTCGTGCTGCGCACGCGGATCTGCACCTTCATGTGGACCCTTGGGGTCCTGTTTGCGAATGCGCCCATCCTTGCGCTGCAGTTTGCGACGAATCCAGAGAACGTCAAGGAGTACGCGCCGTCGCTGGACAAGTGGGCCAGGAACAACGACAGTGAGAACGTTCGCTATCTAGTGGCCTTCGGCTCAGCCCGCCACCGCCCTGGCTCGTGGACCAGACGCCTTCTGGACGCCGTTTCTTGGGGCGCCTCTTGGAGGCCTCCTGGGGACGTCTTGAGAGTCTCTTTGGGGCCTCTTGAGGCCTTGGGGCCTCTTGAGGCCTCGTGAGGGCCTCTCGGTGGTCTCTTCGGGGTCCAGTGTTCTGGCGGTGGTGCGCTTTTTTGGCTTCTCGGCAGTCTGGGGGTCCCCTTCTTGAGGGCCTCCTGAGCCCTGCTGGAGCGCTGATTGGAAGCTCCTGGGGTCGTCTTGGACGTCCTGAGGACCGAGCAGGCGTGAATACAAAGATCGTTGGAAACCTGTCGTTCTTGTTGGTTTGGCTTCTCGGGCTGGCCTCCAGGGCCTCCAAGATGGCCCAAGACGCGCTTGGGATGGCTCCCCGGTTGGGACCACCTGAGGGCACACGTGACCCCAAGAACGCTTCCAGGGCCTCTGGAAATGGCCAAGCGACGCATCCCGGGAGGGCCCAAAGGTCACGCAGAAGTCCAGGAAATCCAGGGTCTGGGGCCCTTGAAAAGACACTCCAATCAATCAGTGCCTACGGCACTGTGGCGGATATCTACCGCGTTGCGTGCAACTACCTGCCCGTGCTGATGACATTCGCCATCTGGCTGGTGCCCCCCACTGTGGTGGAGTGCGTCTCCCACAGCTTCGAGCGGCGCAAGACGAGGTCCGCGGTCGCGGGGTCGGCGCTGTATCGCAACTTCAGCTTCCAGATCGCCTCCCTGTACCTCCTGGCCGTGGGCGGTGTCATCTGGTATTCAGGAGGGGAAGAAACTCACAGACACAACTAATCGCCGATCCCCAGGAGTGTGGGAAAGTATGGGAAGTGGGGGCGAAGACGAAAATTCAGAAAAATGCTTTAAATTTGGGATTTGTGTGCATTTATTTTTGTTCCTGGGCCCCTTCAGGTACTCCGTCCGGGACATCCTCGCGAGCCCGCTGTGCGCGGGGCAGATCCTGGGCGCGACCGTGCCGAAGGTTGCCGTGTACTTCATGGTGTTCGTGATCGCCAGGATTAAGTCGGGTCGGTCCCTCTACAGGGAGAGTATTCAACAATGGTCAAACACTATTTTCAAATGCGTTTTGACTATTTTGTTTTTTTTCGTCCACAATCCGCCTGTAGGAGGACATGCCCGACCTAACGTCAGGATTGGCATAACGCTCCCCATGCTGCTGCTGCGGCTGTATGGCCTCTGGCAGGGCGTCCGGCAGCTGACGGGGGCCTCGCCAGAACAGCAGGAGGAGGAGCCGTGCTGGTGGTCCTACGAGGGCACCAACATCGCAATCGTGCTCGTGCTCGCGAACATGTACTCCGTCATAGCGCCGTGGATCATGCCCCTTTGCGCCGTATACTTCGCCGTGGCCTCCGCGGTGTATCGTTGGCTTTTCAAGAATGTGTATGCTCCCGAGTTCGACGGGGCGGGGCAATGCTGGATAGGGTTGTTCAACACTGCCATGGTGGGCCTTTTCGCAGGTTCGCTGACGCTGTGCGGCATCGTCGCGCTGGACGGAGTGCTGACCGTGCAGTTCTTTGCGACGTGGCTGCTGCCAGTGCTGATCGGTCTTTTCCAGGTCAGGTACAACGACGTGTACGGTCGGCTCGCGGAAGTGATGCCTCTCGAGCTCGCCATCGAGGTCGATCGGAACGAGGGGCCGTTGGTTGTGGAGAAGTTCGACCCGAACCTGTACAAGGATCCAATGCTGCTCGCATTCGACCCGGAGGAGACCTCGATGAGCACCAGCAGCGGATCCTCGTCCGACGACGACGAGTCTTGACGCTGAGCTTGTGCTGGCGGGGTCGCGCGCGCGCCTTCCACCGCATTTCTGACCTCGAAGAAGCAGAAGCTGCATCAACATAATCTTTCGGAGTTCCGCGCGGATTTCTCGGATCTGCGCTGGACCCTCTGGCGGCGCCTCTGGCGCCGCCCCTAGCGCGATCCGCGCGCCAGGAAGCGGGCTGAATCGCCGATCCAAGAAATTCGGCGGGACTCCGAAAGTGTATATGGGCGACGGAAGAAACGGAGTCGATTGCGCGGACATTCGCGAGCAAGCTTCCCGCGTAAGTGCTTTCTTCTCCACAGGGTGTGCCATTCTGGCGGCCCGCGTCAGCCGCAGCGCAAGGTCGCCATGTCGTTTCGCGTAAGGTCGCCAGTTCTTTTCCTCGCTCCTTTGGGCGACGCAGAAAACGGGTTCGACTGCCCGGACAATCGCGCGTAATCTGCCCGCGTCTGGTCGCGCGTGAGCACCCTCATTTCTGTAGCGTTCCGCGCGGGCGGCCTGAGTACGCCACTGCGTAAGGTCGCCATGCCATCTCGCGTAAGACCCGTCTCTTCTCGCTCATCTGTTCATGCCGCTTCTCCTCCCTCCGTGGCGCTCCGGAGGAGGCCGAGGCGACCGCCGCGGGCCCGCTGCCGCAACGCACGCCGCGCACCTGCAGACCCCGACGCCGGGCGGCTGCCTTGGGCGCCGCCCCGACGCACCAGCTCTCCGCGCGCTGGCGGCGCGGGCGCGCCCGCAGCGCTCCGTCGTCGCGTGCCAGGCCGCTCGTGGCGCCGGGCGCAGCCGTCCGCGCAGCGGGCCGCCGGCCGCCCTGCAGCGCGCGTGGCGAGCGCGCGGCGGGCGCGCTGCCGCCGCGCCCGCCGGCCGCCAGGCGGGCGGCGCGGGCGCCCGGGGGCGCGGGGCGCCGCCGCCGCGGCGTGCAGCGGCGGCGCACCTCTGGGCGGCCGCGCTCGGACGGAGCTCGGCGGCCCAGGCCGTGCCCGGCCGCGCTCGGGGCGGCGCCGGGCGCTTTGGAGCTGTCGCGCCCGCGCGCGAGCGCGCGCGAGCGCGAGGGGCACGCCGCGGCGGCGGCCGCTGGCGCGCGGAGATGTCTCCCTTCGCTGGGATGCTGGCGTCGCAGTTGTTCTGGCACGGGCGAGGTCGCCCTGTTTCAGGCCCCCGGGCTCTCACGGATCGATTCGGCCTGAAAAGTGCCAGGCTTTGGTCGAGTTTTTTTTATCGGCACGAACGAGATGGGTACGGAAAGACTGGGTACAGAGCACAACAGCAGTTCCTCTTCATTTTGGACAGGACTCGCTGTCGGTGTCGCCGCGGCCTGTAACCATTTGAGACAGAAGGCCGCCTGCCAACAGTGGCCGCTGAGGAGGAGGAGGAGGAGGAGGAGGAGGAGGAGGAGGAGGAGGAGGAGGCGGAGGAGGAGGAGGAGGAAGGAGGCCTCTAATCCCCCCTGCGAGGTCTCGGACCTCCCCCCCCCTTTTGCGAGGCGACGGTGCCAGCGACCACGGCAGCGACGGCTGCGGGACCCCGCCCTGCGGGAGCGCGCTGGAGTGGCAGTGGGAGCGCCCCGGGTGGGCGCGGGCCAGCGGTGCTCGGCGGGCAGTGCAGGTCGGGGGCGGCCAAGAGGGGGGTGATGCCTATGGAGTGATGGATATCATGGCGGGGGCCATGATATCCTAGATGGATGGCGTCGAAGGACCGCTCGGCATCGCCGATGCATCGGCGATGCGGCTCGATGTGGAGCCCGAGTTTCCCCACGCCGACGTCGCCGATGCGTCGCCGACGTCGCCGATGCATCGTCGATGTATCGCCGATGCATTGGCTACGCATCGGCGATCCGGTGCATTTCTCCGACCCGCGTGGAGGGGCGGCCAAGAGGGGGGTGATGACTAGTAGGGGGTGGATGTCATGGCGGGGGCCATGATATCTCTCCAGCTTTCATGGCGCCTCTTCTTATATCAAATACGTTCCGGCCCCCCCCCCTGGGCTGCGCACTTGCCGCCGGCCATGATTGCGCCCCTCCCTCTTGGACGCCCCTCTCTTGGCCGCCCCCGAAGAGCGGGGAGGGGCGGGGCAGGATATTTTTGTTATTGGACTCCGCCTGGCGGTCAAGTCGGACCGAGTTGTAAGATCGAGGGCAGTTCGGGGATTGTGCCCTTCTTCGTGCCTGTTCGATGTTCTTGTGTACCCTGGAGAAGCCAAGCGCCTGCAAACGGTGTGTTTGTAAATAGGGTGATAGCTGCGGGTGCGTTGTCAATAGTGCCCTCGAAGAATTGATTTGCCGCGCGTAGGTGCGAGGTAATCCCCCCTGCCCAGAGTTATGATGATGTATCGACGGTTTTGTCGCCCCGATTGATCAAGCACTAGTACGAGGTAAGTGACCTGTCACCCTGTACTTGCTCGTAGAGGCCCCTTGGCTACCACCCTGTTCACTAACACCCCGTTGGCAGGGGCTCGAGGGAGGCACCCTTGGATGTTCTGTGCGTTTGGGCAGGCGGAGGGTCCCGCGTTCTGGAGGGAGGCTCTCTGGTCTAGGTCCGACTGTACAGCGATTGTATGCCGTCAGGCCGCTAAGGCAACGGGAAGGGGTGCCACGCACCTCCAGCTGCCGGGACAGAGCTGCGCGCGCGTGCCCTCGCTCCCGGAGGCCGATGTGGAGTACCCTCTCGGGGCCTGAGAGACGGGGGTCAGTGCAAACGGGGGTCAGCCAGGGCACCAGATCCTGCAGGATCCTGCGAAGACCCCTTCTGGCTGACCCGGGTTAGCGAGCCGCTCGTGGCCGCGAGGCGGCCGCGCATATTGGCTGACCCGGGTTTGCGAAGACCAGCGTTGCAGTTTTTTTTCCTGCATTGCAGTTTTTTGGTTTCCTGCTAACCCGGGTCTGGATTGATCCGGGTCAGGAGATCCCCGACCCTCCAGCAAGCGGGGGCCGCAGTCGAGCGGAGAGGGGTGGAGAGGGGTGGCCTTGAGACCCAGGCGCTGCAACTCCTGCACGCGCGGCGTTTTCTCCCGGTCTCGGGCTCAAGGGCCCTCGCAGGTTGAGCCAGCTCGAAACGTGCAGCAGACAGATGGGGGTCAAGGGTCTTGGTCGTGACTTTTCGCGATGTTGGGTCGGATCTCAGTGGGGGATCTCAGTGGGGGAGGAGAGGGGGGGAATGAGGCGGGGCTCCTTCCCATCCCTCTCCTCCTCCTGGTGCCTCGTCCTGTTCTCCTCGCCTCCTGCGCTCTCGCGTTCCCTGCAGCTGTTCGGTCCAGTGGCTCCCCTCCGCGGCCCCCCGCGGGCGCGTCGGGCAGGCCCTCGTCCAGGGGGCCACCGAGCGGCCGAGACTCTCTTCCGGGGCATTCGGGGGCCGCGCTCTACGAGTGTTTCGTTGGTCGCCCCCTCCTCCGCTCGCGGGCCTCGGAGCCCCCGCTGCTGGGGCCCTCCGTGGCCCGCCCGCGCCGCCCCGAGCGGCGGGCGGCGTTGCGCCTCCCCGTCGGGGCGGTGTCGGCCTGCCCCACGGGCTGCCCAGGGCCGGCGGTGGACGTGAGCAACGGAGTTGCGCCTCTCCGGCGGCTCACCCCAGAACTGGAAGAGGCCACGGTCCGGCAGCACTGCCGTTCTCTTTCAGAAGGGGCTTGCCTGCTCACCGTCCTCCCCCGCCCTCCCCCTCCTCCCCCCTCCCGCGTGAGCTACGCAGGGGAGCCACTGCGAAGGTGCATGTGCGGTTGACATCCCATTTGCACTGCAGCCGATGTGCCTTCATGCCACGGCTTTTTCGTTTCGTTTCGTTTCTCGGTTGTGGTGTTTCTTGGCGTCGCAGCCTGTCGAGGCTTCGCGGCGGCTGCTGCACTGGAGCCCCAGTGTCCCCCTGGTGGAGGCGTCCGCCCACATCCGCGCGCGCGCGCGCGAGGCGATCGGTGCCTCTGGTGAGCGCGGTCGCCGCGCACGACGCGCCGCGACCTACGGTCCAGGGGTGCAGGCTGAGGATCGCGCCCGAGCCCTGACTCGCAGCTCGTCGCCAGCGCCGCATCGGGGTCGGTTCCTTCGGGGGCCCCGCGAGGCCTGTCGTGCGTGCCGTCGGGTATGGCGGCTGCCGTCGCTGCGGAGGGGCGGGCCCCATCCCCCTGAGCGGCCAGCCTGGCCCGACCTCTACCCGTTCGAGGGGCCTCGGCCACCAGGTGCGGCCGCTGGCGCCTGGACGACGGCGATGCAGGCTACGCCACGATCCCCCGGCTTCTCGGCCTCGGTGTAGACGGCTGGCGCTGCCTTCGGATTTCCGGTCGTTGGAGGACTTCGGCTTCGCGGAGGCCGATGGCCTCCAAGGTTGTCGACTTGCCCCTGCTCAGCGCGGCCTCCCGCCCAGGGAGCACCACTGCTTCAGTGCTGGTGGTCGACCTGGAGGTTTTTTGAGATGGAAACGGAAGCTCTGGGCCCGCTTGCGACGCGAGTGGGTAGTGCAGTCACGCGCGGCCACTCCCGCACCCTGCGCGATGGCCGCGTCGCGATTCACGAGGGGGGGCCGAAGACGGGGAGGAGGTGCTCCCAGGCGCGGAGCGGACGACCCATTACCACTCAGCGGGCGAGCGCGTGGTGGAGGGCGAAGACGAGGAGGAGGACGTCGACGCCGACGGCGGCGCCTTTTTTCCTTTGAGGCCCCACCACCTGCCGCGATGCCTCCCCCACCGCTGCGGGGGGGGGGGCTGGATGTCGTTCCGGAGCCAGCGGGTGCTGCTGCAAGCCCGCGGGCTGCGGGCGCCCTTGCAGCAGTCTTCGACGACGAGGGAGGGCCGATGATCCGTGCCGCGGTACAGTTTGGAGATCCGCTGACGGATGGCTGCCCAGACGGCCCAGGTGGGGGCTCCACCGCTCGGTGCTCCTGCGGACCCGCGCAGCGCTCGTGCCGAGGCGCCGCAGCTGTTCGCCGACCGGGCGTCGTTCGTGGGGGCCCCCGAGCCCCGCTGCGGGCCGTTCTCGCCCAATCCACCCCCGCTCAGCGGGTCCAGAGTCGCGCGACGACGCCAGCGGCGGCTCTGGTGGCGTCCTGGGGCAATCGCAAGCCTGGGGGCGCTCAGCCTCCGCTCTCGCCACCTCTCGCGCCCCCGCCATTCCCGGCACCTCCGGGCCTTGCCAGGCCTGTCGGAGCCTTCGGCTTAGGCGGGGGGGGCGTCGAGATTGAGGCGCCCCGCTCTGCTGGCAGCCCAGAGACCATCTTGCATCGGGCTTTGTTGTGCTTGCGGGAGACACTCCCTCAGCGGTCGCGCCGGCTGCGGGCCGCAGCGGGATGCCCGGCGACCTCTCCCAGTCGTCGGCCGCGCCAGCAGCCGAATTCGGGGGGGCCTCGACCTCGATGCACGGGGTCGTGCGTCGCAGGGAGTGGCAGCAGATGCTGGTTCAGCGCGGGCCCGAGGCTTGTTTTCGCGCTGCTGAGGGCGAACTTGGCCCGGGCGCCGGGGAGGGAGGCTGCGGCCCTGGCCCGCATGTCCATGTCCCAGTACTTTCGCGAGCAGGGCCCGCTGTGCGCCCGCCCAGCGACGCGCAAGCTGCCGGCGCGTTTTCCGCGGCTCAGCGCGGAGCTGTGGCGCGCGTCCGAAGGCAGCGCCGCGGGCGGGGCGGCGGCCCCAGAGGCCCGTTGGCGCGTGCCCGCCGCCCAGCTGGCGGGGTCCGCGGCTATGCAGAGGCCGCGTAGTTCGTCGCGGGGGTGGGGGCCCCGCCGACGCAGGTGGCCGGCGTCCCCGCGGAGCGGGGAGCCCCTCCTGCCGTTCTCGCACCTCGTGGGCCCCCCGCTGGCTGTCGGCGGCTGTCGGCCCAGGGCGAGTGCGTCGAGGAGATGGCTTTCTTCAGGGCGCGCCTGGGTGCCGATCGCGCGGCGGGGTGGCCGACGGCGCGGCGGGTGCCGCCCAAGCCTGCGGCCGCCCCGAAGGCCCACCAAAGAGGGCGGCCCTCGCCAAAAGCCCCCCCCCCCCCCCCCCCAGAAGGCCAGCGGGGTCTGTGGGGGGCCGCGCGCGTTTTGCGCGCGGCTGCAGCAGCTGATGCAGAGGGTCAGAGTCGCGGAGAGTTGGTGCAGTCGACGGCGTTGCGGTTGCTGGGCGTTCCTGGGCCGAGCGTGGTCGCGAGTGTAGGAATGCGCTTCTATGGCGATGCTGTTGTGTCCCCGCATGGGGGGAGTTTCGCATCGCGGTCGCGGCTCTCGGTCTGTCTCGGGCGCCCCTCTGGCGCCGTCGGGGCCCTGGGGTCCTCCATGCTCTGGCGGCCCTGATGCGGGTGCCAGCGCCGCCTCTTCTGCCGCTGCCAAAGTCGCGCCATTTGTCGCGGATCTCCCTGCCTTGCTTCGCCTGCTCCCAGACGTGGGCGTCGATGGTTCCCGCTCGGCCGCGGTGCTGGCCCAGGTTGGGGTGGGTGCCCTGTGTTCTCTATCGTCCATCGCCCGCGCATGATTTGGCACGCGGCCTCTTCTCTCGGGCCGCTCGCGACGCTTGCGTCGGACCGCCCCCGGGAACGACGGGGGCTGAAGCGCGCCGCCCGCGCACTTGCGCAGCGCGCCGCTGTTGCGGGCAAGTGGCTGACCTCTGGCAAGACCAGCCTCGCCCCCTTCGAGGCGCGAGCGCGGGCAGCGGCCCCGCCCGGCCAGGAGGGCGCGCGGGGTCGCGTCGAGCGGCTCTGCGCGATCGCAGTTCGCTCTGCAGGGGCGATTCAGGGCGGGCGTGTGCTGAATCCGATTTCGCTGAGGCCTCGCCCCGTGGCCTGGCCACCCATGTTGCAGCATTTGAGGTTTCTTTTTCCTCTTCCTCCTCGTCCTCCTCCTCCGCCTCCTCCCCTTCCTCCCCCTTCTCCCCCGCCTCCCTGCCCCCCCGCTCCTCCCCTTCCCCCCTTCTCCTCCTCCTCCTCCTCCTCCTCCTCCTCCTCCTCCTCCTCCTCCGCCTTTTCCTCCTCCGCCTCCTCCTCGTCCTCCTCCTCCTCTTCCTCCTCCTCGTCCTCCTCCCGTGCGGCAGTGCCCGATCGGCATTCCAGAGGCTGGCTCGTTGGCTTGTTCGGCGGCTCGGGGCTCCGCCGCTGCGGGGCCCTTCGACCCGAGTGTCAGGGCGCCCCGCGTCGAGTGGTAAATCGCCGACGTCCGCTCCCTACTTCCCCGATGATTGGGTTAGCGAAGCCTTTCGCGACGCAGAGGCCGTGCCCCCCCCCCTCTGGAGAGTGGCGTCGCGCTTCGGGGCGCGCGCGCTCATGTGGGCCGTGTGGAGCTGCGGGGTCTTCTGCGGAAGTGGGATTTCTGCGGCGTCCTGTAGCCGGCCCCCTCCCGTGACCTTTGCCGGGGCGAGGCGCGCGGAGCCTGCGTGGCCCCCCTCCTGCGTGCGGAGCGATTGCGATCGTCTGATTCTCAACCACGCGAGCATGAACAGCTGCTGTCGGGGCATCTCCTCCAGCGCTCTTCGCTTGGGTGAAGGCCTCTTGCTTTGTCGCGTGAGTCTGGCTGCAGGCGAGTGGCTGGTTGTCATGCGACGACCTTGCGCGAACTCTACTACGCCTTGAAGGTGCCGCCTGCCCGTGCCGAGCGGAACGCGCTGCGATTTCGGTTCCATTCGGTCCGGTTGACGTCGTTCAGGGCATGGCGACGCGGGCTAGAAGGGCTCGATGCGCCCGTGTGCTTGAACGCGCTCGCTATGGGCGACAATCTGGCGGTTGAGATCGCCAGTGTTGCTCGCGAAGGTATGGCGATCCGGCTCGCATGGGCAAGAGCGTTTCTGTTGCGCGCGTTCGTGGCCTCCCTGCAGTGTGTTTGGCCCAGCGCTCTGGTCTGCGCAGCCGCGCCGCGGCCCGCGAGGTCGTTGTCGGCGCCGAGGTGGAAGGTGGGATCGGCGTAGTCTGCGCCCCGCTCGTCCGAACGGTGGCCCTCTGCAGACTCGCACTCATCCAGTTCTACCCCGGGCGCCCGACGCACGCCATCTTTGCGTTGCTGGTGGGATGTTGGGTTCAGGATGTCCTGCGCCGCCGACCTTGGCTGTCGGTCTGCACCCGCGCATGCGACTTCCTGTCGACTTCGGTGGGTGGTTGTTGCCCATCTCCGGTCGGGGCGAGCTGCCTGCGCGTTCCTGGAATTTAAGGCAATGGCCGACCTTCGCGCAGGGTGCGCCCCCGAAGTGCTCGGCGCGGATGCTTCCTGATTCGGGGGGAGACGTCCGCGCCCCGATCAGCTTGCGCCTCTCTTCCCAGCTCTGGCGCCGTTCGGTGACGTGATTTGGGGCGCTACCGCGCGCGGCCGCGCCATTTCCTTTGGGCTGCCCCATGTCCCCAGCACGATGTCACGTGCGTCATCGGGGGGCCCTCGACCCAGGGGGCCTCTATGTGCCTGTCGACGTGCGCAGAGCCGGCGACCTCGCGCGCCATCGCGCTGTCCGCCTTCCCTCCTGTGCCCCTCCAGCATGGTTTGCGGTGGCGGAGGTTAGGTCCTTTTCCATGGTTGACTGTGTGGCGCTCGCAGACTCGCGCGAAGTGCCCCGCTTGCTTGGGGTCGTGTCGTTGTGCTTCTGAAGGCTCGCAGCCCAGGGGGGCCTGCCCCCCTGGGGTTGGGCGGCCGCTCCCCCCCCCGCGGTCGTGGGGGTGGCCGCCCCGGCGAGCCCGCCACTGTGCCCCCTGGCGCTCGGGCCCCGGCCTCGAGCTGGCGACGCCCGCGGGCCCCGTGGCGCGTCGCTCGGGCGGCGCGGCCCGTCGGTCGGCGACCCGAGAGGGGCGGCCCGGGTCAGGGCGCCGCCGCCCGTCGTTGTCCGTGACCCAACGTGACTTCGGATTCGAGAGCCGCCTCCGAGGCCCCCCTCCGCGGCCGCCGCTGGTGGCACCGGCCCTTCGGGGCCAGAGTCCTGCCTGCCGCCCCCGTGGCTTAGGGGGTCGGCCGAGCCGCTCCAGCTCAACCGCGGCGCCCAGGAGCAGGCGCGACGGGGCAGTGCCGCGCGCATTCGCGCGCGCGTCACGCCTGGAGGCTGCCTCCGAGCTAGCTCCACAGGCCCCCCCGCGGGCGCCGCCCGCTCTGCCGTCGAGGCCGCGTTCCGCGAGGCCTCGGCTGGGTGCCGCCCCGACGGGGCGCTCTCTTCTTTGGGTTCCTGCGCGAGGGGGGGGGGCGAGCGGGCGCGCGCGGGGCCCTGGCCCGCGGCGCGTCCGGTCGCTAATCGTTCAGCGGCCGTCGGAGATCTCGGCGCGCGGGGGTGGTCTCGAGGGCGCCGCGCCCGTCCAGCGGGGGCGGGGCCGTCGCGAGCTCCGGCGAGCGGTGGTCCACGGCGCCAAGGTGGCCCGCCGACTCGGCGTGGCTGGGCGGGCGGTTCGGGCCGGGCCCGGCGCTCCCGCGGCCGCGGCGGGCAGGCGCAGGCCGAGGTCGAGGCGGTGGGCTCCGGTGGCCAAGCTGGCCCCGCCGACCTCGCGTCTCGCTTCGCGCGCCGCGAGCGGAAGCGGACTGGCGCGGGCAGGGGCCCTGCGAGGATGCCCGCGATGACCGCCCAAATTTGGAGGGCCATGCCAGTTGCGCGAGGGCGGGCGCTGGCGTCGCGCGCCGCAAGCGCAGGCTGGATGGCTCCCGCGGGTGGCGGGCGTCTCTCCTCCTCGCGCTCGATGGCTGCGCGCCCCGGCCTCCGGGGCGGCGCCCTCGGCGCGCCTGTCAGGAGGCCTGCGCCGGCGGGCTCCGACGAGGCGTTGCGCCCGCGCTCGGCCCCGCGGCCCTCCTCGCCACGGCCTCTGGGCCAAGGCCGCGCGCTCTGTTTGGCGGTGCGGGGGGCAGGGCCCCGACTCCGACCGCGGGCCCTGTGGCCCGCGCCGCCTTGTCGGCGCGCGCCGCGGCGGCTTGGGCGGCTTCCGCGGCTGCTGAGCCGCTCGAGTCGGATTTCGATTCGGGCGGTTCCCGGTGGTTGTCCTGGCAGCCCAGCGATCCACCGACGCCGTTGGCTGTTCTCCATGCGGCGCGTCGGCGGTGCTCTGCTGCGATCGGCTGCCGGCGCTCAGCGTGCCGCTGCAGGCGGAGAGCGGCCGCGCGAACGTCGGGGGCCGCGGGTCGAACCGTGAGTGAGACGCCCAGCTCCGCGCGAACCTCTGATCCCAAAGCGGCGCTCGCCCAGATCGCTGGCGCGAGCCAGCCCGCTCGCTCCCGCTGCGGGTCGATGCGCGCCGCGAAGGGCATGCTGTCGCGTCCGCCCTCCGCGCCGCTGCGCAGGGGGCGCCCCCTCTCGTGGGGCGAAGCAGTCCGTGCGCAGGTTTTAGTTGCGTCCGCCCCCGTCGGTTGGCGTGGCTCTTTCCAGCAATGCTGTCGCGGTCCCGCAGGCTGAGCGGCGCGCCGCCGACGGGGTGGGTGGAGCGCCGCCGCGCGCGGCAACCGCGTCGGCAGCGCTTGGCGCGCCGTCGACCCCTCCGATCGCCGCGTCTGAAGCCGCGGCCGCGCCGAGGGGCCCCTCGCGCCGCCGGCGTTGAGCCTGGTGGCCCGTCGCCGGCATCTGTGTCGCTGGCGGCCGTGGCTCGCGAAGCTCGCGCCCTTGCTAGTCCGCGCGTTTCTCTTCGCGAGGAGTCGGTGCTGCCGGCAGGTGCGTCCGCGGCTTTGGGCTGGCGCGTGGAGGCGTCCATCGAGGCGATCGCTGTCGTCAGTGTGCTTCCAGGGTAGGGCAACCTAGCTGCCCCAGGGCGCCCCGTCGTGGCTTCGCTTGTTTCCGCCGGGCGGGCCCGGCGAGATGGGCGACCCTTCGGACCTGGCCCGCCCCCGCGAGGCGCTCCTGCCGCGCCGTCGCCTGTTTCAAAGGGGCGGCGCGTGATAAGCCCGACGAGCTGCTCCCATTGAGCGCCGTCGTCCCTGCAGACCGCGTGAAAGATGGCGAAGAGCTCGGCGACGCTCTGGGGCGGGGGGCCATCCGCGGCGTCGCCTGGGTGGCGTCGTCGCCCAGCGACGCAGGGCCACCGCGGCTGCGGCCCTCCTCGGTCTCCCTTGGCACCTGATCTTGGAGGGCAAGGAAGGGTCCCCGCCTCGCGGTGCGGGGAGACTGCGGGGCAATTCAGGAGCTGCGGCGTGCCTTCGCACGCGATGTTCCCGGCGGGGGGGGGGGGGGGGGGTCGGCGATCGTTTGGGGGGGAAGGGTCAGCAAGCCGTTCGATCGGATCGCGCTCGAAGGCGGAGACCCCCCCGTCGCAGGTCGAGGCTGCCCAGACGCCCTCTTCGCCGCTGCGGGCGGGGGCGTGGCCGTCAATTCAGGCGTCGAGTTCGACGGCGGGGAGGGGCGCCCCCCATCTGTGGTTCGCCTCGCGGCGGAAGCGGGCGGTGCGCGTCGCCGCGGACCTGGCGGCGGCGAAGCATGGCGCGGGTGTCGCCCTTGGGCTGCTCCCGTGGTGCGAGTGCGGTCTCTGCGCCCGCTGGCGGATGCCGCGCCCGCCGCCGCTGTGGTCGCCCCTTGGTGCGGGGTATCGGGCTGAATTTAGTCCGGTCCCGCTCGCGCACCCCCTTGGACAGACGTTCGAGATCGGCCGGTGCCGTCGAGCTTCGGCTCATAGAACATTCTCAGGAGGGGAAAACATAGACGCACTTAATCGTCGATCCCGAGGAAAATATGGGAAAGTATGGGAAGTCAGGGGGCAGTCAAAAACCCAGAACATATTGGGAACGATGGGGAATCCTGTTATTTGTGTGTATTTATATGTGTGTCCCAGGGCCCCTTCACTCGCGTATCGCACTTGCCACTTTGCGCCGCAGCGGGCAACTGCTCGCTCGGTTTTTCGCCATCTTCGGCACGTGGCACCATGGTGCGGGTTTCCCGCGTTGTCGTCTGGCGCGCGCCATTCTTGGCGCCCGGTCCGCGCGCTGTCATGGGCGTGCCGTCCTTCTGGAAGCCTGGGGTGTAGCCGGCCTGTGGGAGTTGGCCGAGCTTCCTGAGCTCCGCCCCCCGCTGCCTTGCGCGCCACTTCTGGGGGCTCGTCGCTGTGGCCTTTCGCTGCCCAGCGATCGGCTTCAATCCAGCGGTGGTGCCTTCCTCTCCATCCTTGCGCCGAAGACTCGCGAAGTCCCGTTGAGCCTTGCCTTCCCTTGCTAAGCCGTGCCAGATCCTGGTGAGCATTGCTTGCTCTTGGTCAGCACGGCTGGGCACGGCCAGTTTCTGCTCGGCCCTGCCAGTGGGCCCTGCCAGCCTTGCTATGCCTTGCTGAGCCCTTCTGCTAAGTCACGTTGAGGAGCCTGGCGAGCGCCCTGCAAAGGTACCAATTGCCTCGTTAAGCTTCGGCGAGCTCTCCCGAGCCATGCTGAGCTTTGCGAAGCCCTGCTCGGCAATGATTTGTAATGCCGACTCCTGCCAGGCACTGCGGATACGTCCCTTGCCATAGTGAGCCTGGCGAGACCCTGCGGTGCCCGCTTGAGCGCTGCTCCGCCCATCTAAGCTCTGATATGCCATACTAACCCCTGCTACGCCCTTGCAGGGCCTGATGAGCCTGACTCGGCCCTGCGTGGCCCTTGTGAACTCTGCTCTGCCTAGCCCGGCTTTGTCGCGCTTTTCTAGGGTTTGCTGTGCCTTTCTCAGCTCGGCCAAGCTCCGGTACGCCCTGCGTGGCTCTGCAAGGCATTCTTTGCCCTGCTACGCATAACTCAGCCCTGCGGGAGCCTGTCGTGTTCTGATGAGGCATGCTCATCTCTGATGTGCCAGATTCTGTTCTGCTTGACACTGATGAGCGTTATTTGGCTGTGATATATGCTAGGCCCTGGTGAGCAATTTTTGCGCGCTGGTATGCCAGGCCAGGCCCTTCCAAGTCCTGATGGTCCTTTCCAGCCTTTGCTCAGCCCGGCTGCCTTCTGCTTTGCCTTGCTTGGCTGTGGTAGACCTGAGGTATGACAGGCTTTGCTAAGCTCTGCTAAGGTCTGCGAAGACCTGCCATGACATGGCAAGTCCTGCGGAGTCATGCTAAATTCTGATAGAGCCTGCTAAGCCTTGGCAAGTACTGCTAGGCTCCCGCTAAGCACTGCGAAGCTTTGCGAGCACTTGCTAAGTCCTGCTCGGTCTTGCTAGGCCATCGTAAGTGCTCGCTCTGATACGGCCTGCTAAGCGGCGACAGTCCTATGCACAGCTTGGCCTCGCTAAGCCAGGCTAGAGCATGCCAACTAGATAAGGTTTGATCATCAGGCTTGCTAACCCTTGATAGGGCTGAGCCCTCCAAAGTACGGTTAATCAGTGCTGAGGCGTGCTAGGCGCTGTTCGGCCCTGCCAGGCATGCACGTCCCAGGCTTGCGCGTCTCATGTATGCGGTCCATGTTAGCCAAACATGGGACAGAGGAAGAGAGATATATACTATACATATATGTGCAGACGGATCGTGATGAAGAGACGGGTGACAGCTCGTACGATTCTTTTGGGATTTGATGGGACTCCGCAATTTCCCAGCTGCGAAGAGGAGGAGCAGGAGCAGGAGGAGGAGGAGGAGGAGGAGGAGGAGGAGGAGGAGGAAGACGAAGAAGAGGAAAAGGAGGAGGAGGAACTATGGAGGAGGGGGAGGAGGAGGGAATGAGGCGCAGAGGTTCCTAAAGAGGAGGCTGGTCTCTTCCCGCTTCCCTCCCCGCCGCCACCTCAGGAGGTCGTCGTTCGCAACACTTTCCTGGAGTTCGCCGAGCGGGCCGATCAGCCCCCAAAGCTACGCGCCAGCTCGGCTCCTGCGAGGAGCGCCCGGCGCAGGGCCAGCAGGGCCGTCGCACCCGACCGATCGTTTAGGCCTCGCAAAATGGGTCGAAGCAGTCGGGCCAGACGATCGGGTCGCATTGCCGATGCGGCTGGATGTGGATCCCGTTTTGCTTCACGTCGATGTTGCTGATGCATCGCCGACGTCGACGATGCATGGGCGATGCGGCGCGATCCTCCGACCCCATCTATTCGGACCCCACATGGAAGGCCGCTAGACAATGATCCCACCACGATTTGGGGGGCAAGCAGCCGAGAAATTGTGAGAAATTCCTTGTATGCCAGTTTTTGTTCCCAACCCTCCCTTGGTTGGGTTCTCGTTTTGACTCGAGCACTGAGGTCTCCACCTCTCCTCCTCCTCCTCCCCCTCCCGCCTGGCCCCTTCTCCCTCCTCTTCCTCTCTCCTCCCGCCTGCCTTCAGCCTTCTGCCTCGGGCCCGCGGTCTGCGAAACTGTCGCCACTTTCGTGGGCTCCTGGGAGGTCCAGCGGAGGGGTGTCCCACGGGGGTCACCACGAGACCTCGCCGTCCCTGGGGGGCTGCGATCTGAGAAACTGTCGACACTTTCGTGGGCTCCTGGGAGGTCCAGCGGAGGAGCGTCCCACGGGGATCATCTGGGCCGTCCTGGAGCTCCTTGGGGTCTCCCGCTCCCGCTCTGGGGCCCTTCTTGTGCCTCTCCCGGGATGCTCTTGAGCAGTCTCGGGCTGCTCTTGGGCAGTCTTCAGACTCCTGGGCCGTCTTGCGGCTCTTTTCGGGGCCTCTTCGGCGGTCCTGGGGCGATCTGCGGGGCGTCTCCGGCCGTCTTGGAGCGTTGGAAGCTCGAGAACGCGAGAAAGCGACGAACATTGAGGAGAACGACCGAAGCTCAAGGATACGGGCCTCTTCGGGCTCTCTCGGGACGCCTTTCGGAGCTCTTTTAGGGACTTCTTGGAGGGCTCTTGGGCTGTGTATTGGCGGTGTTGGGCCCATCTGGGGCCCCGTTGGGGCCATCAGGGCCGTCTTGGAGCGCCTTGGGGCTTCCCGCTCCCGCTCTGTGGCCCAGCTTGGGCATGTCCTGTGGCTGAGCTTGGGCAGTCTTGGGCTGCTCTTGGGCAGTCGTCAGGCTTTGCGTCCGCGGAGTCTGCCCGCGCGCCGTCGTCGCGACTATCCCCTGCCGTCTCCAGGAGGCGCCCGAAGTGAAGGGGGCCGTTTGGTCCCCCACACGGCGCCCCGCGGAGGAGGAGGAGGAGGAGGAGGCGGAGGAGGAGGAGGAGGCGGAGGAGGAGGA